ACGTACCCCCTCCCTCCATTTTCTTCTCCTCCTCCTCCTTTTCCTTCTCCTCCTCCTCCTCCTTCTCCTCCTCCTCCCGCATCCTCCCTCCCTCACTCCATCGGTGCCCCCCCCCACTCCTCCTACGCTCAGACCTCCCTGCTCCTCTCCCCCTCTTCCCTCCCTCCTGCGCCCGTGAGGAGAAGGAGCGCAGGACCAAGAGGATCCGCCAGCGAAGACAAGACAAAACACAGGGCAACCGACCGTGCCGATCGAAGGATTCGCGCACACCACCCACCGCACGCTCTGAAACCCTGCGCGCGGCATTGCCGTGCGGCCGCGCTCCCGAAGCGACGCTCCAGGGCAGAGCGGCGCGGGCCGCTGCCCGATGCCCACGTGCGCTTCTCTGTCATAGGGCGAGCCTGCACGAAGCGAGGCACGCCCGCGTCCGCGCCCGCGCCTCGCACACGAATGGCGGGGGGCAGAGCACCGAGGACGCCAAAACACCCAGAGGGCACCCGAGACAGCCCGCTGGGGGCGCCGCTTCCAGAGAGCCAGTGCGCGACCAAAGCAAGAGTGAAGAACACTCCCCGACCGCCAGAGAAACGCAGGGCACCTGCCACGACCACAGATCGAAGGCATACGACAAAGAGCACGTCTGAAGAGGACGAACTATCGGGCCCGAATGCCTTCCCTAGATGCAAGATTGGGAAACACATGAGAGCAACGATAATGTAGAAAGCGGGAGTCACAAGGCCACCATGTCCTAGGTGTGCGAACTTCTGCGCGGGACAGCCGAGCAGCTGCACACGTCACATCGATCTACATTCCAGGACCAGACAAAAAGGCACCCGGAGCAGCTTGATGAAACGCAACCTCCAGAAAACGCAAATGCAACGAAAGCGAATGTTCAATACGCCCCCCGACCCACAGAGAAACCCAGAGCACCTGCAACGACCGCAAATCCGAAGCATGAGATGCAGCCCCGCCCCCAAACCTTAAGCCACAACCTTCGAGAAAAAAACATCCTCTATTCAACAGCAACCACTAGAAGGTGTTCTTTCACCCGGGAAAACACTTCCTGGCAATTTTCCCCGTTCGGCCGAGTTTAAGTTCCCTGTTCGAGGCCAATTGCCTGGTCCCCGACTGGATTTCCTGGTTCGCCGTTGCACCCTCCTTGGGGGTGGCCTTCATCCAGCACTCTCCTCACACATGTCGTGCATCATGGGCGATCAGCTGGCCTCCGAGATTACTCTCCAGAGCCTCAGTGTAGCGCACCCCTCACACAATTGTTACCCCATGGCCCCCCAAGGGCGATCCGATGACCCTCAAGATGGCTGAAGGGAGCGCCTCGAGACGCAATGAACAACATCGCGAATACGCATCGATACTGCAAAACGGCCATCAGACCCCTCAAGGAACGCCAATACTGCCCCCCTGCCCCTCAGGGGAAGTCAAAATGGCTTCAAAACAACCATTGAAGCGGTTGGTACTCATTCTTGCCGAAGCCGTACCCCGAACATCCTCCGATTGCAAGATCTGGGTGCGTTCCCACCCCATCGCGGACTCACCTTGCCAACCCCCTCCCGTCATCCCCCCTTCTCCCACTGCTTCTGCCAGCTTGGGCCCTGCTGGATTGTATGGGCGCGCCTTGGAGTTATCAGGGGGGTATTGGGCCAGCGTGGCGCCCCATGCGGGGTGGGTTCGTGGGAGCCCCTGGGCGCTTGCTGGGCCCTCTTGAGGTCTCTGCGCGACCCGGCCAACAACGGTTCGCTACCTGTTGTACGCGACCTTGCCGTCACTGGTCGGTGCGCGATCTGTGGTGCGCGATCTGGCCTGAGGTTGCGCGACCTGTGGTTCGCGACCCTTGCACTTCACGGAGCGCGACCAGTGGTACGAGACCTTGCCTTCATCAGTTAGTGCGCGACACGTGGCACACGTCATGGGTGGTAATGGTTCACGACCTGCGGTGCGCGACCCTTGAAATTCAGAAGTACGCGACCTGTGGTACGCGACCCGAACGTCTGTGGTGCGCGACCTGTGGCACGCGACCAGAGTGGCATTGGTTCGCAACATGTGGAATGCGACATTGTCTGCAATGATTGGTGGGAGAACGACCCTTCACGCTGAACGGTACGCGCCTTGTGGCAAGCCACCTTGCCTTCACCAATTCTGCAAGCGACCTGTTGCACCCGTCCTCAGCAATAACGAGTTGTACGCGACCTGTGGTACGGACCCCTCAAGCTCAATGGTACGCGGCCTGTGGAATGCGACCTAAGCGGCTGTGATAAGCGACCAGAGGTACGCGACGTGAGCGGCAACGGTTCGCAATCTGTGGTGCACGCTCGTGATTGCAGAAAGTGGTGCGCGACTTGCTGTGCGCGACTCTTGCATTCGATGGTGCGCGACCTGCCTTACGCGACATTGCCGTCACCAATTGTTACATTAAGTGTGGTACGCATCCAGAGCGGTAATAGTACGCGATCTGTTGTACGCGACTCGTGCAGTCGATGGTACACGAACTGTGGTACGCGATCTCAGCATAAACGCAATTCGGCATGGCCTTACGCACTTCGAGCCAGATGCACGTCCAGAGTCGCTCCACTGGCGCTCAGGATGGCTCATTGAGATTCATTGCAGCAAACACCTTACGCACGTTCGTGCCATATTGACACATTATCCACGCAGTCGTGCACCATGGATACACAGGAGCGCTCAAGCAAACTCAAGGGAGCCTTGTTTCGGCTTACCCCTTACGCACCTCGTTGCTCATGCACTCCCAGATGCCCTCAGCTGGCTTCCAAATAGACTCATAGAGTCCCATTACGCCTAACAAGGATACATAATATTCCAAGATGGCCTTGTGGAGACCACTCGAGACGCAATGAAAATTATTGCGATTGGCATCGACACTGCAAAATCGACATCAGACTCCCCAAGAAATTCCAATATTGTCACTTATCCTTCAGGGGACATCGAGATGGCCTCAAGGTAAGAGTCGCAATCATTGGTACTGACCCTCTTGGATACCCTCCTCCAGGATGCCCAAGATGGCTGCCAAGACAGCCCAAACAGGCCACAAACGCCGACACGACAGCCCCAGCTGCCTCCAAAACGGCCTAGCATAGCACTAAGTCTGCCAAAGATGGTGCCAATACGTCCCAGAATAGCCTCAAGACAGCCGATGACACTCTGAGGACGGCCCCAGAGCGCTGCAAGAAAACCCTCAGGAAAACCTGCAGAGCAGAAATATTCGCAACTGCGCCTGCACAGGTTGGGCGTCTGTAAGGATTCTAGTCTACTAGAACCGGCCCCCCCTCCCTGCGTAAGGCATATCGTTAGAACGTCGGCTACTCATAATTAGCGCTCCGGCGACCTGTTCTGTCTCCAGACTGCCAAGATGGTCTCCAAAACTGCTTCCACGACAGGACAGATGACACCAAGACGGCCTCAAGACGGCACAAGAGGGCTCCAAGAGGCCCTCCAGGAGAGCCCAAGGAGACGAAACACAGTGGTGCTCCTTAGGTGTTGGAAGGACTTTGAGTTTCTCACATGATTGGGCTTCCGACCGCCCCAGACGGCCCAATAGGCCTCCAAGATAGCTCCAATACAGCCCATGAGGCATCCAAAGAGGGCCCCAAGTTGGTCCAAGAGGACCCCTAAGATTGCCCAAGATCTTTCTAATCAGGCTCCAAGATGGTCCTAAAGCGCTCCAAGAGGGCACCAAGACGGCCCAGAAAGGCCTCCAAGACGGCCTCCGAAGACGACAGACTGGCCAAGAGCCCCTTTAAGACGGTACAAGAGCCCCCAAGAGATCCCGAAGAGGCTCCCACGAGGCCCCCGACGAGCCCCCAGGAGGCTCCCTGGAGGCATCAAGAGAGCCCCTCACAGGCCTTTCCTTCCTTGTCGTCGATTTCTCCCTCCTCCTCCTCCTCCTCCTCCTCCTCCTCTTCCTCCTCCTCCTCCGCCCTACCGCGCGCATGAAGATGAGTTCGAGTTCGCGACCCGCTTCAATTCTGACCGTTCGCTGAACTGCAGCGAGGCGTGAACTCGACCTCGCCCCTACCGCGCGGACGAAGACGAGGTCGAATTCGCGACCCGTCCCAGTTCAGACCAGCAGCAGTTGGATAATTGATACATTATGATCCGTTGCTGGTAAGGGTGTGGATCGCAGAATGAACTGCGACTTATTCACAACGCCCCCCCAGCCGCCTTGTAATCTAACCACCGTTGTCCTGGACTCTTCGACGCCACGGCGCGACGGCCCTGCGACGCGTGGCCCCTGCGCACGCTGACGTTAGCAAGGGCAGGGGGCGCATCAGCAGCAAGACAGACGAACCCCCGCCAATTCTGAGGGCCAGCGCCCTCGCACACAACTTCACACGCGACGGCTCGGAACGGGGAAGCATGTGCCATGCACCCGTGGAGGCGGCTGCACACAAGCCTTCACCCCCCAGGTCCTGAATTCTAGAAGGACGCCTGCCTGCGGCCTGTGCCTCCTCCTCCTCCTCCTCAGCATCCTGCTCCTCGTGCTCCTCCTGCTGATTCTCCTCAGGCTATTGCGTATTCCCCCTCCCCATATTCCTGTTCCTCATCCCACACCACTCACCCCGAACACGTGGTGAACCAGGCGATACGCGCCAGAACAAGCTGCAGCATCAGACTTCAACTAAGATTAGTGTGCCACAAGACGAAGGGAAAAACGGGGAAGGAGGAGGGGAGGGAGGAGGAAGGGAACAAGGGCGGAGAAGCAGCGGCACAGGAGGACTCGCAGGAGGCGGAGAAAAAAGGACGAGTAGTTGAAAGCGGATGACGAGTAGTTGAAGCGTAGTTGAAAGCGGCAATGTCCACTGAGGGATGTAAAACATCAAGAAGCAAAATGGATGAGACGCACGCGAAAGGAGGGAAGAACGGACAAGCGGAGAGACCCTCGACGGCCGAGACTTGCGAACTACACACGCCTCGTCCAATCGGGACCGTCCGCTCTATATTCTTCGCTGGAATGGAAAAACACAAGCGCGTCACGAACCCGTGGCAAGCTCGGAGGGGAAACAACAAAACAAAACAAAAAAACGGCGCAGGCTCACATCAACGCGCAACTGTTGGTGCACCTTGGCGTCGGGGGGTCCGGTCGAGAAAATTGGCCGGGCTGGCATATCGGGAGCGGGGAGGATGAGGGTGCAAATCACGAGAGGGATATAGCAGCGGGAGCACCCGGAGAAGGAGGAGAGGCGAGAGGGGGGGGGATGTCGTCCTTTCCCATCTGCTGTCTGTGACCGAGAGATCGCAGGGCAGGCACATCTCATGGAGAGCCAGCAAGGAAACCAAACGACGCCCGAGCATGGATCGTACCCTCCGTGTGCGCGTTTGCTCGCATGCTTGCAGCACATGCGCTTGACAACTTTGAAGGGGCCCTGGGACACACAAATAACTAGACGCAAATACCAGGAGTCCCCATATTTCCAATATTCTCTGGGTTTTTGTCTTCCCCCCCACTTCCGATATTTTCCCATATTTTCTGGGGAATCGACGATTACTTGTGTCTTTTTTTCCCCCCTCCTGAAGCTTCACATGACCACACGCGTACGCTCGTGCAAGAAGAGACTCCTTGCCCGCAGGCGGGCTCGCCCGCTCACTTCAACGGCTGGTTGCTTCGCTTTCTCTGCGGCCCACGCGCTGTTCTGCGCGCGGTGCGGTTGCACACGTGCGGGGCTACTACGGCAGGTTCGTGTTGTGCCGACTTCGGCCTTGGTTTCTGCCACCGCGGGGATCGTTCAACCTTGAACGATCGGCCGTTCCCGAAACTCGAACGATTCTGGGTCGCCCGCGGCGTTCAAAATTCAACGCCGCTGGCGGGGTCGCCGCCGGTCGACACGACACATACCTAACGTACGTGCTCGCCTGATGTGTTGCTTTCCTGCCCCTTGCTTGCACGCATCTGTACTTGCACGACATCGTGCCGTGGGTCCCTCCATGCACATGGCCGTGCCGCTCCATGGTCTCGCCGTGTGCATGACACTGCTCGAGGTGTACATTTTCGCCCACGTTTCCAAACGCATATCGGCCAATTCGCATCGAACGTGATCCGGAAATGTTTGACCCGGTGACTACGTCCATCGCAGCGTCGGAGGAAACGTGTGCGTGCAGGTTCGCGCGCGGCGCACATGGCCTGCAAACACGGACGCGTTCATCCATGTCTGATTGTATGTGTTGCGTGCTAGGCAGCAAGCGCGACGCATTGTCTGGTGTTCTTACTGTCTGCGTGGATGGCCGACTCATTTCTTGCACGCGGGCGGGCACGTGTGATTGCTGTCTGTGGTCCGAACTATTCGGGAACCAATGTGGCATATTTCATCAGAACTGGTCACGTGGTAGTCGTGCACACGCCCATCACTGCTGAGCTTACAATCGGCACCCTCAGCATTACCATCATCATCAGCAGCATCATCACCATCATCGTCATCACATCATCACCATCATCAGCATCACCATCATCAGCATATTCATCATCAGCATCAGCATCATCATGATCACAATCGTCATCATCACCATAATCACCATCGTCATCATCATCACCACCACCAATAATCATCATCAACATCAGCATCATCATAACCATCATCGCCATCATCATCGCCATCATAATTATCATTGCCACCTCATTATCACCATCATGACCACCATCATCATCATCATCAACATCACCATCATCATCATGACGATGATCACAATCAAAATGTATATCCCAAATGACCCAACCGCACTCACATACCGTCCGTATTGTTCCTTGACCAGTCTATCAGCACTGGCGTCACGCCCGCTTTGAGTAGCGCTGTGATGCCGTTATGACAGGCTCCAACACAATGTACAAAGGCAATGGGCGGCTCAACGCTGCGCTGTCTTTCTTTGGGGGGGGGAGGGGGGGGAAGGGCAACAGGCCCCTCTCGTCCTCCTCCTCCTCCTCCTCCGCCTCCTCCGCCTCCTCCGCCTCCTCCTCCTCCTCCCCTGCGGAACTCTGCGCCGCCCCCGCACCTGCCCCCCCTGGTGGCCCAGCGCCAAAGGGGCACCCGCGCAAAAAGCTACACACCTCGGCTGCGCCAGAAGCGGAGGAGGAGGAGGAGGAGGAGGAGGACGAAAGGAGAGGAGGAGGAGGAGGAGGAGGAGGAGGAGGAGAGGAGGAGGAGGAGGGGGGAGGAGGAGGAGGAGGAGACGTCGGCAATGGCGGCAGCGTCGGCCGCGCCTGTCGACGCACGTGCCCACGTCCTGCCGCCGCGTAACCTCCGCGGAGGGGGTGCCGGAGCAAGGGGGGGGGGCGGCTAGGCCGCCAGGGCCATGGCCAGCGGCCCAGGGGGGGGTGGGGGGAAGGGGGGACCTGGCAAGTCCTCCTCCTCCTCCTCCTCCTCCTCCTCCTCCTCCTCCTCCTCCTCCTCCTCCTCCTCCTCCCTCCTCCTCCTCCTCCTCCTCCTCCTCCTCCTCCTCCTCCTCCTCCTCCTCACATGCCTCGAATCCACCCTCGTGACCTGATTCCGAGCAATCCCGTGGGCGCAGGCGGTTGGGCAGTCTCTTCCATGCCCTGCTCTTCCCCATTGGGAAGGGGGGTACCCTTGCCCCTAAGCCCCATGCACCATGCGCTGGGTCTGGAAAGGAGGGGGGCCGAGGTGCCAGATGGCTCCCACATGTCCCAAGATGGCCTCTAAGACGGTCCAAGCATGGATAATACTGAATTAAGCATGCCTTCAAGACGCCATGCTACGCTTCGAAGACAGTGCCACTGGGCTACGAATCCTCCCATGGATGCCCCCCCGGAAATCACTTCCTGCAAACCACATGGAGCTATCAATTAATCAATTTGGAAGTTACCGCTTTTCCGATTATGATGGGCTTCTGGAGTCCCAGGATGGTTACAAGATGGCGCAAGAGAGTCTCAATATAGGCGGAGAAGGGCTCCAAGACAGCCCAAGGGCCCCAAGAGAGTCCCAAGGGGGGACCAGGGGCCAAATGTGCGGGTGGTAGGGCGGTGGTCCTCCCTCTTTGTGTCACGGTATTCACTGCGCTTACGTGGCCACGCCAGCTCCCCAAGAATTCACTGCTGAAGGGACTTGGTGAATACTCATGATGCGGTCATCTTCCTCGCCTTCCCCCTTCTCCGACTCAGCTGCGTGGCGCCCCCCCAGCCAGTCCCGACATCCCTCCTTCTCGGCGACAGGGAGAGGGAAAGCGAGAGAGAGAGAGAGAGAAGGAAATAAAGAAAGAAAGAACGATAGAGAGAGAGGGAGGGAACGAATTTCACGGGCGCTTGGGTGAAACACAATTCCTGACACGTTCGTTGAAACCCGGAAGGGGGGGCTCCCCCCCACTACACCCCAAGCATCTGGCGAAGCGAAGCACCCAGCCACACAACCCTCGCACAGAACTCCCCCCCCCCTGACAACCTGCCCCCTCCTGGCGCAAGTAAAGGGGCCCCAGGACACACAAATAAATACACGCAAACAAAACGATTCCCCCAATTTCCCCATGCTTTCTGGGTGTCTGTCTTCCCCCCCACCTCCCATATTTTCCTATATTTTCCTAAGGGTCGACGATTCATTGTGTCTGTGTGTGTGTGTGTGTTTTTCCCCTCCTGGCGCAAGGGGCGGGGGCTCACCGCCGCCCCCCCGCGCCGGCAAGCTACGACGACGACGACGACGACGACGACGACGACGACGACGACGACGACGACGACGACGACGACAGCAGTGGGCGGGCGGGACACGCCGTCGTCGTGGTCGGGTCGGTCGGGCGGGCGGGACACGTCGTCGTCATAGCCGTCCTCGTCGTCCTCGTCGTTCACCTGGCGCGGAAGAGGGCCCCTGGTTTCTCGACGTCCGCGGTGTTTTGTCGTAAGGGGGGGAGCCCCCCCTGGTTTCCACAAAACAGCCTCAGGCGAGTGCAGAAGCGGCTGCTTCCCTTCTCGTCTCTCGCGCCCCTCTCCATTACTCGTCCCCCTTGTCCTCAGGCTCACGCCCCTCTGCCCCTCCTGCTTCTCCCCTACTTGTCTTACCAGCCTGAAACATATCCCTGATTATCCCTATGCTGGGCACCTCCTCATCACGATGCCAATCTTAGGGATTCCCTTATTTTTTTAGGGCGAATCCCTAAGGTTTTCATCGCCTTTTGGCGTGTCGATCTTAGGGATAGGGACACGTTCGAGGCTGGTGATTGTCTCCTCTGGCTCTGCCTCATTCGCCTCCTCCTGCACTCCTTCTTCTCGCCCTCCTGCGCCTCCGCCCTGCGCAGAAGACCAACCAGCCATGGACTTCGAGGACCCGAGGACCCGCTGGCCCTCACGGGGTCACCCTAGAGCCCCCCTCGACTCTCCAGGACGAGCAGCGAGAGCCGCCACTCGCCTCCCCCCCTTCTGCGCGCGACCGACGAGGAGGAGGAGGAGGAGGAGGAGGAGGAGGAGGAGGAGGAGGAGGAGGAGGAGGAGGAGGAGGGGGAGAAGGAGAAGGAGGGCGAGGAGGAGAAGGAGGAGGAGGAGGCGGAGGGGGAGAAGGAGAAGGAGGGCGATTTCGGGTACACGTAAGAGTGACCCTGGGTAAGAGTGACCTTTGGTGCGCGGCTTTGGGGGTGCCGCGGGGAGGCCAAATCCAGGCGCGCTAGCCGCTGCTACCGCTTCGCGTTCAGCCATCTGGGGGCCCATCTGTGCCCGCATCAGAGGTCACTCCGGCGAAAGGTCACTCTTACGTCTAGTCGACGATTGCGGGGAAAGAGGAGGACCGGGCCCCAAGATTTGGAATCCCGAAACGGTGCGGCGACAGACCGTGCGGTGACCCCGAAATCCCCCAAGACCTCACCGCACGGTCCGCCAACGCACGGTTCTGGGACCTCGGAGGCCCCCGTCGCCCCGAGACGCCCTCGGAGAACGACCCGAGCCCCAAAACCGTGCGGTGACCCCGAATCCCCACCGACTCACCGCACGGTGTGGTCACCACCCCGTCTGGGGCCCCCGGCGAGAGCGGAGCGCAACCCCGCCGCCGGCGCGCGCCGGGGTGGGAACCCGGCTTCCGCCTGCGCCCCCGGCCAGTCCTGTGCCACGGCGGGCCCGCGCGGGGCCACAGCACGAGGGGGGTGTCAGCAGAGGCAGAAGGCAGGGCAGGGCAGGTCAGGTGCGCGCTGCAGCAGTCGGCCGGACCTAAGGCACGATAGATCAGGAACGAAGCCCCTGTTTTTTTCCAGATAGAAGTCTAGGGAGTCCGAAGGAACACCAGGGGGGCTCGCCGCCAGAAAGGTAGCGGCACACATGCAAACCAAAAGAACGACCGAGCCCCTTTTGAAAAGTACGCGCTCCTTGTTCAAACCGGATCCTGTAGGAGAAAGGTGAGACGGAGATGACGGGGAAGAAGCCGTGAGAGTGCTGATCATGGCATGCAGGTTGGAACATCAGAGGCGAATGTCTCCACACCCCATTTTTTGCCGGGGAGGGGGGCAGGGGACCCAAACAGGACGTATACGCGCCCAACCACGTACATGAACATGCATCCCGGTCTGAGAGGCCGCCCTCGTGCCACGAACGCTCGCCCAATGCGCTCTCTCGGACTCCATCTCGCTGTATTGACGCGTTCGTCTTTGCTTCGCTTCTGAAGGGTGGAGGGGGCAAGCGCGTGTAATTGCTACCCCCGGAGGTCAGGTCTCTGAAGAACGGGCGGGTGCCCGTGATTTGAAAAGCAGCATGCAGCCAAAGGTAAGGGGGGGGTCCGATATAGCAATCGTGCTACCGTGCCGCAAGGAGCACTGACTGAGGAACGGCGGGGCTTGTCTGGTCTTGAGTCGGGCCTGTCCCTCTACAGGGATAATTTCCTACAGTTCAAAGATAGTCTGGGGGCTATCTTTCGAGTATCTTTGGGCATCTTTTGACTATTTGTTTGATCTGTTCGATTTTTCGTCCAAAATCCCAGTGTAAGGGGGACCGGCCCGACCTAAGTCTGGTCACCGCGAGCCTCTGCTTCGAACAGGTCCCCCGACCCCGATCTGGGGAGCGGCCCGCGGACCAGAGCCCCATCCCGAGCCCGAGGTGGTCCAGATGTCAGCGTCTTGCCTGTACCCCTCCTCTTCCTGCTCCTCCTCCTCCTCCTCCTCCTCCTCCTCCTCCTCCTCCTCCTCCTCCCCCTCCTCCTCCTCCTCCTCCTCTCCCCTCCTCCTCCTCCTCCTCCCTCCTCCTCCTCCTCCCTCCTCCTCCTCCTCCTCCTCCTCCTCCTCCTCCTCCTCCTCCTCCTCCGCCTTCGCCTCCTCCTTCTCCTCCTCCTCCTCCTCCTCCTCCTCCTCCTCCTCCTCCTCGCAGAGTTAGGTTTTCGCGAGAAGGGGGCTGGGGGCGAGGCCTCCGCCAACCCTCCTGCGTGCTGGGCCTCAGCTCAGGGCCCCATGAACGGGGACGTTGGCTGACCAAAGCCCAAGGCGTCGGCACGCCCGAGGAAACCGCAACCGTGTGCCGGAACGTGTTCCATTGCTTGTTCTCCCCCGCAGTGCACAATCTCTTGCATAGTCCTGGGAAGCCAATTCTGGGGCATCGCGGGACCCTTGCAACTCCTCTCCGCAAGGGAGTTCCCCCACGGAAGCGGGATCGGGAGCTCGGTTGGGGCTCCGCCAGGCCCGTGCCCCAGCCCTTCTTACGCGGTGGCTCAGTGCACCGAGTCAACTCATGACAGCCCAGAGAAGGAGGGGGCGCCTCCCCCCCAGAAGGCCAAAAGCCGGTGCTCTCTGTCATGCTCTGGCCGCAACCAAGGCGTCGGGGTTCCGTCATGGAGGATCCCAACGCCGCTGGTGGAACCCTCGGTAAGGCGCAGTAGATGGGAGGTGCTCCAACGTCTACAAGGAAGCCAACAGGACCTCGAGTTGAGTCTGTACAAAGCAGGCTGAAACAAACCTACACGTGCAATGCGTGCGTCATCGGAGCAAACCTGTTCGGAAAGGAGCGAGCGGGAAGCGATAAACACATGGGAACATATGTTTGAAACGCTTGTGCTAATACGGGTAGCTAACAACAAAATCGTCATCGAACCGTACAGGATCAGGCGTTCTAGAGGCATGTCGGATTTCATGCTCTAGCTTAACGCAGACGTCTAGCTATGAACCCGACACGCAAAGCTACAACACACCAGCACCCAAAACACATGGGAACTCAACATGAATTGGATACAACATGTAAACAAATGACGTGCAAACTGCCAAACGGAGAACAAACGGGAAATCAACTAAACGAATACCGTACGCGAGTGAAGAGACACAGCTGCGAGTATGCCCTGTGGCATCCTCAAAAAGTTAAGCCAACGCGATGCAAATCTATGGCACATGCCATGCAGACTTAACCCATCGGGACGAAGTCACTTGAAACGAACCAAGCGCGCGTCAACAGCACATTGACAACAACGAAACAACAAAACACTATAGCACAATAAGCTAGACACAATTAACTCAAACCATAAACGCAATCGTCATGCATTAGTTCGGAAACTGGGACGCTTCCCCGATGAGGCGATCCACTTGCCAAGAGTCCCCACTGTGCGAATCGGTAACCGAGCGAAACCTTGAGCAACGCCTAGCTGTGGAAGCGCAACCCAACGGTAAACCCATCCCCTTCTTCATGATTCCGATGCTGCTCCTCCCAACTCCTCGCCCGCGTTGTCGAAGCGTCACTGCCCCCGCTTCCAAGCTGTCGCAGAGCTCTAGCGGCTGAGACGGCCCTCTCTCCCTCGTCTCACAACTTCTGTTAGTGTCACCAAGCCAACCGAACTGCGTCGAATCTACACAATCATGATGGGTGTCCCCTCGGCCACCGTGGAACAATGGTTCGACACCGTGATTTGTTCTTCATCTGGAACATTTGTTGAGAGCATACTCCGTTACGCGAATGCGCGATCGAATCACAACTGTTCAAGTCGGTACCCCACGTCCCCTCTCCACGAGGGAAGCGGGGACGTTGGGTATAACATATGAGCGCAGAGCCTGTGTTCGGCACCAGACGGCCACCGCATGACTCCATCCACGTATGCTTCGGCGCCGCATCTGCAAACAAGCGGCTGCGAATGCCCTGAACCACGAACAAGGAAAACAACGCTGCTGTGCAAATGTGCCCAATTGGCACACGAGAACGGCTTTAACAACAACCATTGGCTGCCTCCTTCCCAAATCCCACCCCGTCGCCTGTACCGTCATCCTTCCCCCTCCCCATCTCTTGACTGTCCTATTCGTCCCCTCAACTCCCATCCCCCGTCCCATCAAGAGGGAAACCACTGTACGTTTTCCCAGTACCACCAACAACGCAATCCTGCAACCCTCCCACCCACCTCAACGCTTGTTTCGGTCCTGGCTCGTCGGGGTCGTCGTATATGCCGCTGCGGTTGTCCCACACCTCAGACCTACGCCAAGCGGTCGTCAGAGCGAAAACTAATCAAGGGGGAGGGCGGGGAGTTGCAGGGCAAAAGCAAGTACAGGGGACAGAGAGAGAGAGAGAGAACAAGAGAAACATGTAGAGAAGGAGAGGGAGAGAGTAAACGGTAGTGCAACAGAGAGAGAGAGAGAGGGAGGGAGGCAGGGAGAGAGAGAGGGAGAACGGGAGAGAGAGAAGGAACGAGAACAAACAAACACACACTCCACGTATAGAAACACGCGTGGCTCTCAATATCGATGGACAGCGCGAGAGAGATAGAGGAAACGCGAGAGTGAGGAGTTAAGGGGATGGGGGAGAAGTGAAGGGAGGCCAAGGGCTGCGGCGTAGGTGGCTGGACGGGGGGAGAAGGGACAGACCTGGTCAGGGCAAGAAATGAGGATAAGGACCCAGCTCGGCTGGGCAGGGGAAGAACAGCGGAACAGAGAGCGGAGCGTGGGTGAGAGGAACCCTCCCCTACATCTCCTGTGTCTCTAGCCTTCTGCTCTACCTGTTTGGTCTCCTCCTACATGTCCTCCTACATCCCCGCTCCGCCCCCCTCCTCGTCCTCCGCCTCATCCTGCCGCAAGACGCTCGGACTGCTCGCGGCAGACGGCTCAGACAATAGACACAAACGCCTGTAGGCGAGATGTTGCACAAATCTGTCAGACCAACGAGTCACGATCTATCCCTATCCGCCTCCCTTCGTTCACTCGAACTCGTCGCACGCCGTTCAGCGGTTGGCCTCCGTTCGGTATCCGCCCTGAACACAAGCAACCCAACAAACTACGCAATGTCGGACGTCCGCGGGGTTTGTTCGGAACGGCGTTGAAAAAGTTCACCGTGCACCTCTATCCTAGTCATGCTCCGCAAATATGTCACATGCCTGCATATGTTACCGCTGAGCTTCTGTAGACTTTATGCCATCCTGGCTGTGGGCGTGTGTGACCCAATCGTTGCTATCATACATGCGCCTTGTTATGGCGATTGGAACTGGCCGCGCTGATTAACAAAGAGGTGGCATTCACATTCCGAGCATACGTACGAACACCGTTGGCAAACCACATATACATATACATGTACATATATATGTGTATGATTGCACAAATGTACATACATACATACATACATACATACATACATACATACATACATACATACACACATACATACATACATACGTACATACATACATATATATACACGTACATACACACACATACATACATACATACATGTTAGAAACGATGGACATTCATCAACATGATTCGCAATGTTACCCACCCGGAAAACAGATAACACCAAACTGCGACATCCATGCTTCGATCGTGTTACAAATAACGTCGCGAAACGCACATTCGTGTGAACTTGTTTTGTCGAACTTGCTAAACAATGTCGAGCTGTCGCGGACGATGCTGCCGTCCTTATGCGCGTTGAATGTCCCACGGTTGTCGGCCGAAAGCTCTTCACCGTACATATGGTCATCCAATTTTGATAGGCTGGCGCTGGCAGCGGCAACTCGCGGCAACGATTGGTATCATATTGATGTGTGTTCCCTGGACGAAGCAATGTATGGACATCATTCTTTTGTAGCAACGATCGTGCAGTTCAAACGGTCCCCAACTTCCCATCCGTGGTGCTTGCACCCGATTATATGTAGCTCGTCGTTTCGCGGGTCGATGTAGAAGAAAAAAAAACTCCTGAACGACTTGGCGCTGCCAGCCGAGGCAACGCTGATGTGTTGCGAGGTTGAAACAACTAGTCTGGGGCGTGTCTGGGCCATTTTGTAACATCTTCGCCAAACGTCAGAACAAGGGTGGCGATTATCGCGCGAGTTCTTTTCTACGAGAGCTAAGACAACGCCGCCTCATTTGAGCGACTATTCGGGTAGGTGGCCGTTGCACGCTTTCAGCCACACGAATATGTTCATGCGCGCATATCGTGGAACGTTTTTGTTTCTGTGCTCAATAAAACCGACGGTTTGCCACCCAATTGGCCGACGGATGGTTTCGTGTCGCAATATGCGCGCTCTCATATTGGATCAAAGCCGACAACGGGAACGGCCTGGATCTTCACCAGCTGGTGTCATGAGAACGCTCGCGCAACAAAAATGGATGCCATTACGCAAACGCGTTCAGTCGATTGCGCCTCGTTGAGAAGAGCCTGCCGGGAAGACAACGCAATTGACCCCCACGTTGCGCAAACGTCTGTCTGTTCACGACCGAAGCCACTGACATGACATCCACTTGACTCCGACGGGTATCCAACATGCTCATGGCGAAGGACCAAACCATTCGCAGCTGTGAACACCGCAATTGTGAATCTCGTCTTCGGTGGTGCTCTCTCGGGGACCGCGAACCGCGTGAGGGGCGTGCCGAAATTCGTGGCAGGATACATTGCGCAAGCGAAGACAATCGGTTTGAATGCGAGAGACTGAGAGCGGATGAGTCCGTGCGAGAGTGAGTCTGATTGTGAATGAGTCTGCCCGCGAG